TGGGCAGCAGTCACTGATAACCATGGATATATATGGTCAATCAAAGGATTTGGCCTGGCATCCCCCAGTTGGTCCAATGGGGATCAGGACCTTCATGTCATAGTGCAAGCAGGCTGGCTCCCTCCAACTCCCTGCACCCTCACAAAACTGCCTGTCCTCGCGGGTCATAAACCGACCCCTGATAAAAGCCAGGAGTTATGAGGCCAGGCTCAGACTGCAGCCATCCTTTGGAAGGTCAAGCCCTCTCAGGAGCTGAGCTCACCTGTGGATGTGAATGCTTAGCAATTGTTGCCAACTGCTGGTCCTGAGCAAAATCCAGAAAGGTGAACGAAGAGCAAAGCGTGGAAGAGGAGACGCACAGGAGGAGATGCCACTGAGAAGCTCTCCATGAGATGCCCTGGGGAATTCCATCAGCCCCACTGGCCGGCTGGAAAGCACTTGCAGAGGAGGCAGCAGCAACAGGGAAAGGGAAGTCCAGCCCTGCAAGGACGGTGTTGGATGGAAGCCTAACTCTGGCCTGAGGTCTGGCTGAAGTGTGTGGAAACATTCTGGCAGCCAGCACAGCTGAAGACTGCGAACAAGAATAAAATATTATATTTTGATAAAGGTAAAGGTTTCCCCTTGACATGAAGTCCAGTCATGCCTGACTCTAGGGGGTGGTGCTCATCTCCGTTTCGTAGCCGAGGGAGTCAGCGTTTGTCCACAGACAGTCTCCGTGGTCACATGGCCGGCATGACTAAACACCGAAGTGCACGGAACACTGTTACCTGCCCACCGAAGTGGTACCTTTTTATCTACTTGCATTTGCATGCTTTCGAACTGCAAGGTTGGCAGGAGCTGGGATGGAGCAACGAGAACTCACTCCGTTATGCAGATTCGAACCGGCGACCTTTTGATCAACCAGCCCAGTAGCACAGCGGTTTTAAACCACTGCGCCACCTGCAGTCCCAATTTTGATACAATAAAATAAATATTAATTTATTTCTAATAGAACCATGTGCCTTCTTATTCATTTACAGAAAAATACTAAACTCTGTACTCCTGTGGTACCCTTATTATTGGCTTGGTTGGTTGGTATTTTAATATAGGGTTATACTGCTCACTTGCCAAAACTCAGTGCCAATGTGGTGTAGTGCTTAAGAGCGCAGGACTGGGACTCCGGTGATCCAGGTTCTAGTTCCCACTCGACCATGGGGCCAACTGGGTGACTCTCCAGCCCACCTCACAGGGTTTTTGTTGTGGTGAGAAGATTAATGATGGAAGCCATTTTGAGTCCATCGGGAAACAGTGGGATAGAGGCCTAATACATGAAATGTCTGGAGAACCTTGCCTACACATTTTTACCCACTCCAAGTTACCACAAAGGGATTCCACTGCTAACAATGAGATTACCTGAGGCTGTCATGGAGGGGGAGCTTGGGGGCCCGAAGCACCCCAACTTATTTTGGAGGGGGCTCTCGGTGATCCCTCCCCCACTGCCTCCCAAGAGACCTAATTTGACCGCTTTTCGACTGCTGCTGCATCACAGACCTGGGTTGCCAACCGTTCCTGGGAACTTCCTCTCCGCAAAGGCCCGCCAGCCACCCACAGGTGTCTTCTGGCTCTGACACTTCTCCTCCCGGCAGCCTCTGCTCCTCAGCAACTTCTGACCAGCTTGCCTTTGCCACCAACTGAAACAGACTGGCATAACATGGTCTACTACAATCCTTGAGAATAAACCTAACATTTGGAAGTTACGTTCAAGTACACTTAAAAACCCCCAAGAGAAATTGTTTTTTATGAGACTAATGAGAAAGAGCAAATAGAGCCTGCTCTTTTATGGGATGCTTGACAAGCATTCTTCAGAGGGTATTTGATAGGAGAGGGAGCTAGGTTAAAAAAGAGAGAAACAGAGACCAAGAATAACTTAAAGTTAAGAGACTGAGAGAAGAACATAAGAAAATGGGTTGAAAGAAAACCTTTATACAACTTACGGGGACTGAAAGAATTGGAAGCACGAGACACATTAAAACATATGCAGCCATGAGGTGCTTAAAGAGGAGCTGCTATTAGGAATTATATAAAACAGAATTGAGAGAGAAATATAAAAGAATTTGTGGATGTATTACCAATATACCAATATCTGAAGAGCATAAACAACAGCTTGACTCCCCAATAACAGTAGTGGAGATCAGAACAGCTATTCTGAGACTCAGAAAAGGCTACATCACTAGTGTTCATTATTACAAAATTTGGGAGGAGGGTGTATCCATACACTTGCCAAAATTGTGTAACTCAATATTAGTTGGAGGAAAATACCAGAATCTTGTAAATTATCTAGAAGAATAGTTACACCAAAGCAAGGGAAAGACCTTCCCTTAGCAAACAGACCAATTACATTACAAAACCAGGGTCAAATTTGTCTTCTTCCATTTTGACTCAAAGATTGAACAGATTCCTAGTGAATTATACCCACACAGATCTGTACGGCTTGATGCCAGCCCGACAAACAGCTGATGCAAAGAGCACTAAACATTAAATATATGGCAGCTGAGGAGAAACCACAAATAGCAATGCTCTCATTGGATGTACTTCAAGCCTTTGATCGTGTGGAATGGCTCTATTTGTTTTAACTGAAGGAGAAAATGAATTTGGCAAGGGATTTATTAAAATTCTCAAAAGCCTATATGAAGAAGCATTTGCTAAAGTATTGATTAATGAATTAGAGTCAGAAATATTGGCGTTACACCAAGGGACTGGAGACCCCTTGTCTCCTTTAGTATTGCTGTGCTCATGGAACCATTAGCATAAGGAATAAGGATAATATTATAGGCGTTACAATTAGGAACAAGTGGCACGAAATTAACCTTTATGAAGATGATAGGTTTTTGTTTTTGAAGGATCCAGTAAAAAGCATAGGGCATATAATAATTAAATCATTAAAATATTATTAAAATTAAATAGAAGTTAATCAAACTAAATTTAATTAATACAATAAAACAATTACTAGAAAATTTTAATGGTTACATGGGGTTAAAAATTAATAATCAAATATTTACATTATTATGCATAAATATCCCTATATCAGAACAAGAGGAGATTAAAACAATGCCTAGCTTAAACTTCTGCTCTTCCAGTTTTAAATATTTGGGAATTTGGCTAACAAAAAGTATAAATCGATTGACATACACAGAAATGATTTGTATATGTATAATGAAATAAGAGAGAAAGTTAGGAAATGCAATACATTAAAATTTTCATGACTGGGGATAATTGTGGGGGGGGGGTCTATGAGGAATCTGGGCGCCCTTTGGCTCAATGGGCGCAGCAGCAGCATTTGGCGCTGCCGCTCTCTGGAGCCTCTTCCACAGCCCATCCTCCGATTGGCTCCCTCTCAGGCTCAGTTCGGCATTTTTGGGGTCGTCTCGTTGTGGGGGCGGGGGAACAGGCCGCCTGTTCGCCAATCGGAAACCCCGAGAGGAAGCACTGCAGGCGTGCAGGGCGTGAACGTCAGCCCTCCCCTCCGGGGCCTCCCTAAGCGTTGGGCTGCGACTCACACCAGCCGGGGATGACGGGTGCTGTAGTCCAGGCGAGGCGGGTAGGGCAGGCGGGCCCCGCAACCGCGCGCGCCCGCAGCCGAGAGTGCTGGGACGATTGTGGGGGCTGCACTCCCGCCCACGCGTCCGCCGGACCAAGCCCCGCCGCGAGGCGGAGAGGGAGCCGCGGGAAGATCGCCCCATCTGCCGCGCTGCGCCCGCCGCTCCTCAGGCTCCTTCGCGCTTCCGCTGGAACAGAGGAAGCAGGCAGCCCGTGGCGCAGCTCGCTGGATCCCGCGCGCTCCTGCGCGCAAACCTGCCTCCGCAATAGCGCCGCCGCAGGTGCTCCAGCAGCGGCCAACGGCGAGCGGAGCTGCCGCTGGCGGGCCTCCGGAGGACGTGGCCCGCAGCCGAGAGCGCGCCAGGCGGATTGTGGGGACTGTAGTCTCCCCACGGGGACTGCACTTCCCCGCAGTCTGTGCGTGCGGAGGTCGCTGGCGCACCAGAGTGCGGGCGAGGTGAGAGCGAGGATGAGTGTAAATGGCGTGCAATGGCGGGGATGGTGGGGAAATCCCAAAGTCATACATGCATTGATGGGGCCCAAAGGGGCTGGTTATTAACCAGTAGAGAGACCTTGAGTTAAGTCAGGGCTGGGGCATCTGCGGGCCTAAGGGGGGGGAGGTGCTGCTGAACTGAAGGGACGAGGTGTGGGGCCCAGTCCTTGGTCTGGCAGGGCTGCGATCCTCCAGAGGCAGTGGCAGCCCTCCTCGCAGTCGCTCATGACCTCCAGGATGTCCTCTTGGCAGCCGAGGGAGTGCAAAGTGGATGTTTTGCACATTGCCTGGACTTGGAAGAATTGATAACCGCACTCGAGCTGAGTGCAGGTTGTTGTTCAACCATGGACTGTCGCTGGAACAGACCAACTGGGTTCACACAGCCACAGCAGGTAGGCATGTCACCTGCACCCAGCACACTTCCTCAGAAAGGGCTGCACGTTCACCTCATGAAGCTAAGCCATGGCTCGTCCTGCGTTTCAGGGAATCCACTGCAGATTCGCTTGTCTTGCAATATCAGCTATTTTCAGCCAGGTGCACCGCAGACCTTTTATGCCATAGTTCCCATTATTTCCAGCCAGCCCAGCTGGGACTGATGAATACTGAAGTCTGAATGCATCTGGAAGCAGACTGAATGCATCTGGAAGGCAACCTCCCCTGCTGCAGTCTAGCAGCAAGGTGAGGCGTGCCCACAATGGATTTTGTTCTCGTGCGTGAAAGAGGAGGGAAGGAAAGGGGGCAGCTCATCTGCTGGGCGTGCTGGACTGGCCAGGCTGGAGGAGGTTTCTGCCAGACAAAGGTCTCTGTGGTTGGGAAAGGCTCGACGGGAGCCACAGAGAAGTGCCACCTCCCATCCGGCTGATTGGGAGGCAGGCCACATGCTCCTTGTCGTCTGGGCAGAAAGTCGTGCGCTTATCTGAGCTGCTCAAGAGCAGCAAGTACCAGCCGGGCTTCCTGACATGCCGGAGTGGCCATGGGCATGCTCAGGATCCTCGGCCCGCTTCTCGTGGCCCTGTGCGCTTATTATTTCTACAGCCAAGAGACCTTCTCAGCAGGTAAGGTGGGCAGCTCTCCTCTTCCGGACAGTGACCTTGAGAAATTATGTTTTAAACAGAAGCCATTTACACATTTTCCCTTAAGAATCACTGGACTTTGCAAGTGTCCAGTTGTAAGGACTGAAATGGGCAGCCTGGCAACCCTGCCCCCCTTGTACATTAAGCCAAAGAGGCTGCAAAGAGAATTTCGCTTTTCGTTCTCCTGACAGCTGTCAAAAAGGGGCTGCCAAGAGAAAGCAGATCAGGAGGGAATTCTGCGCCAAAGTGAGTGGCTGGCAGATCAGCCCCTTCAAGGCAAGATCCTCTGATTAGTTCTGGCTGCAGCAGACTTCTCTCATCCCGTGTCTTTCCCACCTGTTCCCAAAAATAGCTGATCAGGAGGATGGAAATGCATGCGCCATCCCTTTGAGCAGAGTTGCAACTTTTACAAGTTAGCTGTCAGGATTCAGGCTTCCTTTTACGATGGGGTTATGATGGTTCGAGTTGGGATATAAGACAGGGACAGACGCCTGCTTGGGCACTTTGAAGGGACTATCAACTTGGAGGTTGTAAAGACACTTTTGGGGGGGGGCGGAAAGGAGGGTGGGAAAAGCCACAGCAGGCAGAAAAAGGTTTGCATTCATGAAGGAAATGGGGGCAACTCATATGTTGGATGCACTGTGGGTCACTTGTGGGGCCAGGGAGTTAGTGTGTCATGCAGATGTGCCCAGTTAGCTTTTATCTTCTTTACTTTCCTCTATTTCCTCATTGGTAAGAAGCGGACAGCTGTGCCAAACCTGGCAAACAACAACTCAGAGCAGCTGCAGTTTGGCATTTTCAGGTCCCTTACCGTGTGGGGTGGGCTGGCGGGGCACGTGTTGGGCTGGGGACCTGGGGGATCTGGGCCTTGCAGGACAGCTTTGGGCCACAAGGCAAGATCGCCGCGCAGGGCATTACTGAGGAGGCTGTCGGCACATTTCCCTGCTGCACCTGCAGCACTGGGTGTCACTGCCTCCTGTTCACCGCTCATTTCCCACTGTCCCCATTTCTCCCTCCTTCTCTGCTTTGCTCCACAGGATTGTCCCCTTGCCCAGCCTTCCCCAACCTGGTGCTGTCAGAGGCTTTGCCCTGCAGCTCCCTTCATCCCCAGCCAGCAAGGCTGATTTTCAGTGCTAAACATCCAGAGGGGCCCAGGTTGGGGAAGGCCACCCTTGCCTCTCCAGAGGACCGCGCCTTTGTGTAAACTGGCACTGCAGACCGACGGGTCAAGCTCCAATTTTTGCCTTTGGTTAATCGATAACGTTGGTATGGCAGAACCAGAACGACTCCAGCAGCCCTGGCAGATTTCTCACTCAGCCGGGGAGCATTCTTGGGAGCTTCCTGGTCATGTGGGGATTCAGCCCTGGCCCACTGCCCAAAGTCAACCATGCTCTCTGTTGTCACCCCCCTCCCCTGAATGAGGGAACCCCAGCTCATAAGGGCCCCCAGGAGTGCGGAGGCAGCAAGTCGCTCGACTGCCTCTTTCCCCCCTGCAGAGATGATGCGAGGCAAACGTGTCCTGGTGACGGGCTCCAGCACAGGGATCGGGGAGCAAATGGCCTATGAGTTTGCGCGGATGGGGGCCCATGTGATGGTGACGGCCAGGAGGGAGGAGCAACTCCGGCAGGTAAGCTGGGAGGCCTCCACCGCTCGCCCACTCACAGTCCATCTCCCGTGGCTAACTGGACACCCAGCCTCTCCAGATCCATGTGTCTCCCTGCTGGTCGTGCCTTGGCCCCCGGGAGTGTTTCCCAGGGCTCCTGTCCCGGACCAGGGGTTCCTGTGCCAGCTGTTGCACTGGCTGGGTGCAGCAGGGTGCCCAGTGCCAAGAGCAGATGGTGCCCTCCCTGCCCCCTTCCCTTCTGCAGGCCCTGGTGAGACCACGATCCCCTCGTTTGCAGACTCTGTTCCAGCATAAGCAAAGACAGGAAAAATCCAGTTGAAGGGGAAGCTGGGTGGGTGGGATCTGTCCTGCCAGGTTCTGGGTGCTTTGCTGTTCAATGCCTGGGCTTGGACCCTGGGAACTCAACCATGTCAGCACTGAAATAGGGTTTTTTAAGCAATACTGGAAAGGATGGGAGTTGCGGGGTGCCTTGCAGGAAGCGTGTGTGGTCCTGAGCAGCAAAACGGAGCTGCCCTCTGGGATACAGGCTTATTTATCTGTTACGAACCATTCAATGCCACCCTGTCTGCTGAAAAGCCCTCAAAGTGGGGCACAGCAATTTAAAACCTCTGATTCCCCCCTCCCTCCTGTGCCCTCCAGGTGGTTCAGAAGTGCCTGGAGCTGGGGGCAAGCTCTGCTGCATACGCTGTGTCAGATATGAAGAACCTGACCTCTGCCCAGAAGGTTGTGGGAGAAGCCAAGGCCGCCTTTGGTAAAGACGCGTGCTGACGCCTCCTGCCGACGAGGCAGCCGCGGTGGCGCAGGCCTGGCCGACCAGGGGAAGCTAGAGAACGGGGGTAGCATTGGACTGGCGGCCCCGAGCCTGGCCGGCCCCTGCTCACCCCGGAGCGCGGTGCGGCCAGGCACAGCTGAGTCATGTGGCCAGCTCAGCCTTGGCGGTTGGAGCATGGAAGGCCCAGGGTGAGAACAAGGCAGGCCTGCAAGTGAGGACGGGAAGGCCGAGAGCAGGGCGGCCTCCGGCTCCCCTGGAGTGGCCAGAGATGGCAGGTCCACCCCACTTCACCTCCTGTCCAGCGCAAGCTGCGGCAACCTCGCTGTGCATCAGAGGGCAGCCATGGCTCCAGGAGGCCCCGCGCCCGAGCCTCAAGGGGGCCAGCAAGGGCCCTCAGGAGGCACTCAGAAGCAGGGAGCCGGCAGCAGGGGGCAAGGCAGCTGTGCAGCACCTTGCACCCCCCCAGACCACAACCCTGCGTGCTCCCGGCTCTCATAAGGGCGGCCGCTTAAGTGCTCTGTGTGCAAGCACGCAGGGTTGCAATCTGGAGGGGTCCCGTTGTGCGCAGGCAGGGGAGCGCCCGTGGAACACCTCTCACGCGTTTGCAGGGCCAAGCTGACCCTCCTTGCAGGCACCGGAGCATCCAGGCGGGACGCTGGGGTCATGTTCACCTGCGTCTGGATGCAACTCGCTGAAACGGCCCTCTTCACTTCCAGGGGGTCTTGACATGCTCGTGCTGAACCACATGGGAGGAAATGCTGTGTTTCATCCTTTCAAAGAAGACATGGAGTTAGTGATCACCTCTATGACCATAAACTTCCTCAGCTACGTGCAGCTGACGATTTCGGCAATGGACCTTCTCCAAGAGGCTCATGGGAGCATTGTTGTCGTGTCTTCTATGGCTGGTAGACAAGGGAGTCCTTTTAGGAGCCAGTTTGGATGACTAGTAGGCTTTTAGTGCTAGTATGGAAGGGCTATGGAAAGAAGCAGAAAAGACAGCGAAAATTATCTACAGGATGGAGCATATGACATCTGGCATAGTTTTGCTTAGAGAAAGGTCACTAAAGGGAGACATGATCAAGTCCTGAAACATTTGGTGGGCAACAGGTTGGGGAGGGTGGTCCTACTGTGCTCTATTCTCAGGTGAATTGTGCCTGAATGTACGTCACCCTGAGCATCGAGGGGCTTGCTCTGGGCAATCTGTGGGACTGCACCTTTTGTGTAGGAACCTGCCACATTTAACTTGTTGGGAAGTATCGGAAGCAGAAACTGTTTGGAAACTGGCTACCCAGAGAGCCTTCTGGCCATTGGGCACTATGAAAGTTCCAGCAAGCAAGCAAGCACCCGCTTGCTTCTTAGGCCTGTGGTGCATCTTGTTCACGGCCTCACAGAAGATGGAAGAGGGACCACAGCTCAGCCTTAGATGGCGTGCAGAAGCCGTGGGGTTCAGCCCCCAGCAGCCTCTCCAGGCAGGGCTGGAAAACCCCTTCCTGAGCCTGCAAGGAGAGCCCTCGCTGAGGGCCAGTGCCAGCGGCACCAGGCTGGGGAAAGTGGGGCAGACTCTTGTTTCAGCTTCGCCTCTGTTCACAGAGTCGTAAGATCTGAATTGCTGGATTGCATCCACTCTTGTGTTTCCCACAGGCCCTAGCTAGAAACCTCTGTGGATGATGGGATCTGCAGCTCAGGAAGGCTAGTTTACAAGCTCAGGTCCAGGCAGCCTTAACAGAGGAAGTTCTATCCCGTAGCAAAGCGAGTAAGGCAACCCTCCAGTCTTCCTGGGAAGTGGACCTTACTGTTCAGAAATGAAATTGTCACACTCGTTCCCACAAGCTTCTGCAGCCGTCCACGCTGAGTGTTCTGCTCTCTGTCCCAGGCCGCATCCCTGTCCCGTTCTCCACCGCGTACGCCGCAGCCAAGTTCGCCCTGGAGGGCTTCTACAGCAGCCTGCGCACAGAGCTGCGGCTGCGGGGGGTCGACCTGCCCATCACAGTGGCCGTCTTGGGGTACATCGACACAGGTGAGCCCAGCCCAAGGCCCCTGGCCCCACTTGACCCCACCCAGAGGAAGCTAATCCCGGTTGCGCTTCTCCCACAGATTCTGCTCTGAAGCTCATCGGGAGCAAAATCAATATAGAGGCAAGCCCGAAAGAAGACTGTGCCCGGGAGATCGTGAGAGGTGGCGTGCTGCGAAAGCGGGAGGTTTTCTATCCTTACTGGAGCACCAAGCCCCCCCTGTTGCTCCGGGACTGGCTGCCAGAGCTCTTGGAGCAATTCCTTAACCAAGCATACCTCCTGGAGAAAATCCTCTGAAAAGGGCTTGTGCTGTGACCTTGGGTGTTCCAGAAAAGGTGTGCCGCACTGAAAGTCATTCCTCAAGTTAGCCACAAAGGAAAGTGGCAAAGCGTGCAAAACTTTCATTTCATTAAAACTCTATAGATTTGTAGGCAATCAGGTCACATTTATTATTATTATTATTATTATTATTATTATTATTATTATTATTATTATTATTATTATTATTATAACATGTCTATGCCGCCCCTTGCCAAAGCCTCGGGGCGGCTTACAACACAATAAAATACATTGAAATACAATAGCACATAATAAATTACCATTAAATACAAAAATACAAAAAAAAACATTGAGTTACAAACATAATAATATAAAATTAAAATTATCAGTATAAAATAAGTAAAATAATATAGGAGGAGAAAAGAGAAGGAAGAAGAAGTTGCCCTGGCCAGATCATATATTTTAACAATTAAAATGATGTTTAAATAAAAAGGTCTTTACCTGGCGCCGAAAAACCAGTAACGACAGTGCCAGGCGGTCCTCTTTGGGGAGTGAATTCCATAGGTTGGGCGCCACCGCAGAGAAAGCCCTCCTCCGAGTACTTACTCTCCTAATTTCTTTCATGGAGGGTTCCCGGAGAAGGGACTCTACCGCAGATCTCAAAGGGCGGTCGGGCATATACGGACATAAGTGCTCGTTCAGGTAGCCCAGACCCAAGCCGTGTAGGGCTTTATAGGTCATAATCAACACCTTGAATTGGGCCCGGGCTTCAATGGGCAGCCAGTGAAGCTGACGGAGGACTGGAGTCATGTGAGCATAAAGCCCTGTCCCTGTCAGCAACCTGGCAGCTCTACTTTGCACCAATTGAAGTGCTTGGACCGTCTTCAGGGGAAGCCCCACATAAAGCACGTTACAGAAGTCTAGGCGGGAAGTCACCAGTGCGTGTGTCACCGTCGCCAAGCAGTCGAACTCCAGGTAGGGGCGCAGCTGATTAATCAGCCGAAGCTGAAGGAAGGCGCTCCTCGCCACCGCTGTCACCTGAGCTTCCAAAGAAAGCTCCGGGTCGAGGAGTACTCCTAAGCTGCGGACCTTATCCCTAAGAGGGAGTGTTGCACCATTCAGGACCAGGTCAACTCCACCCTCTCCGAAGCCCGATCCGCCAACCAACAGGATCTCCATCTTGTCTGGGTTGAGCTTCAGTTTATTAGCCCTCATCCAGCCCATTACCTCGGCCAGGCACCGGTTCAGCACAGCCACTGCCTCACCTGGATTAGTGGAAAAGGAGAGGTAGAGCTGGGTATCATCAGTGTACTGATGATTCCGCAGCCCACACCTCCTACTCCTGCAGGGGCACCATTTGTCAGGGAACACACAAGGCGAGGAATGAGGAGTGTGTGCTCCAGACCACAGTGTGAACATGTGCTGAGGTGCACACTGCAGCTGGGGCCACGGCCGGGGGGGGGGGGGGGGTGTCAGAATCCAAGGCAGATCAGGGCTCCCTCTGCGGGCCAAAGGCCTAAATAACAGCCCTGGTGGTTGCAGGATTGGGCCCACAACCTACTGCAGCTATGGGGGGCGGGGCCTTTACGAGTGGCACCTGGGAACCTTGGGGGAAGAGCTGTATAAGCACTGGCTGCCTTCAGACGCTGCCTCAGCAATGAAGGTTTTCTGACTTTTCATGCTCTGGCCACTGTGTGCCTGAGCTCTGCTCCAGTGCTACTCCAGCCTCGCTCCAGTCACCCTGCCTTGCTCCTGCACTGCTCTGGCCTTGCTCCAGTCCTGCCCATTTCTCCAGTCTTGCTCCAATCGCCCCAGTCACTCCAGCTCTGCCCCAGTCGCGCCTGTCTTGCTCTAGTGGCTCAGCTCTCAAGGTCCCTGTTTCCCTCGGCTCGTCTTCTTGGGTCTCCAACCTATGGACTATTCTCAGCTGTACTTCTGGACTGAGCCTTGTGCCGCACCCTGTTTGCCCGGGTCCTGGCGCTCCCATCCGCTAGTCTGCCGCCCGTGTCCCAGATGCTGACACAGGGCTTCTCCACAGCCACCGGGAGAGGCCAGGGCTTTGACCTGGGAACTCCCCGATTCAGCCTTGGGGTCCAACTATGCAATGAGGCACATATGTAGAATTCAACAGCCCCCTGGCAAGCTCACAGCCCACTTATGTGCCCCCCCCCCCACACACACACCAAGAGCCAGCAGGAGGGCAGAGGGCAGCCAGAATCTTTCCCAGATCTTCTTAACTTTGCAAAGAAACCATCCTGGAATGGGCAGCACTAAGATGGAAAGACTATATACAAGGAGAGCAGAGGCCAGAATGTCCCCCCTTGGATGCCCCCCTTCCCCTGGCCCCACCCACTTCCCTCCAACCCCAGATCACTTGTGTGCTGGTTTTCTCCCACTCTAACAGTTTGAATTGCTTCTCTTGGGACTTCATTGTTGACAGTAAGAGATGCAAGCTAAACTATCCTGGCCTGCTTCTTAATTTTGCCCCATGCCTTCCACCTTGGGCTGCACCCAAACCCGAAGCAGCCACTGGTGTGCATTGCCCTAACATTGCTTCCAAAGTGAACTTAGCCTGTGGGCTGACAGACACTCAAGACACCTGTGCTAGGAGAAAAGTAGTCCCCGTCCTTTTAGCAATGGCAAGACCTCACCTTAAGGCTTATATGAAGCTATGTGTCATGGTCATGGCAGAGCAGTGCAGCGGCGCTGAGTCACAGGAATGTCTGCTCTGTAAAGGAGCATCCCCAGCTGCAGGGAGGCTGGAAAGGGCTGACAGGCTGGCTGGCAGCTTTATGGTGCTTACAGTGGCCCTGCCAGGGGGGCCACAACTCTGTGACCTGCCTGAGGGCACCCATTCCAGTGTTTCAGTTCATGGTCCCGGCCATTCCACCAGTCTTCCCCAACCTGGTGCCTTCTAGATGTGTTGGATTGCAACTCCCATCATGCACAGCCAGCAGGGCCAGCAGCACCTGCAAAGCACCAGCCTGGAGAAGGCCGCCTTGCACCATGCCAGCTCTGTTGGCTTTTCATCTGCTTGCAGACCAAGCAGGTTGCCCCGTCTGTCCAGCTTGGGCATGCCGGCGATCTGGCCACAGCGGCTCCCACCTCACGGGCTGTCCAAACTGACCGGGTGTCCCCCCTTCCTCCCACGCTGTTTCCTAGGCTATGTGGTCAGAAGAAGAGGACGGCTGTCCCAAAAGAGGCAGACTATTCTTCGGTGTAGCCTGAAGTGCCTGATCCTGCCTAATCTTGGAAGCTAAGCAGGGTCAGGCCTGGGCAGAAGTGGGATGGGTGACCTGAGTGTATGATTCTATGATTATTGCTGTCAACTGCCTAGAGAGCTTTGGCTATGGGCAGTATAAAAATGTAATAATAATAATAATCTTTCGGACATAAAAATCCCTATGCAAGAGGCACCCCCGCCAAAGCGTCAGGACCGCCTCCACTTTACCTGCAGCCCCTCGGTGGCCCTTTTCTCTTGCGCCACTCTTGGAAATTCTTCCAGCGCCGAACTCTGCCCACCTTACAAAGCAACATACATGGGACTTTAATTCACGAAGCATCCTCCCATACGTGAAAAGATACTTAGGCCCCTTTAGGCTTTGACTCAGGGCCAGCGGTTTCGCTCTGCTCATCATCTTTGTCGCCTTTGAACTTGGGCAGCACAGGCGTGTTGCAGATGGAGGCGGTGCTGGGCAAGCCAGCACTGTGAGAGGACGGAGCGGGGCCACTGGCAGGACTCCTGCAACAAGAGAGCCCTTCCCACGAGCACAGCGGGGTGCCCCCAGGGGCCCGTCCACGTGACAAGCAGGCGGACTGAGCAGGCTTGCTCGCCTGGTGCGGGAACCCAGCCTGGCAAGCAAGGATAGTGGGTTGGTTGCTTCCCGAGGTTCCCACAATGAGCCTGGCAAACGGGGGGCTCATCGCGGGGCTCCCCGCTCCCCCTGCTCCCTTCCAACCTCCAGGTCTTCTTTCCCAGGCAGCAATGGCTGCATGGAGATGGGGGCTCGTGCTGTACAAGTGGGGGTCCTGCCCTGAACCAGGGCAGGGGCAGGTGGGATGTCCGAGGCACTCCGAGCAGGGGCAGCGCCACAGAGGAGTGCCCCCTTCCGCTCAAGGCGGGCCTCTCCAGCAGGAGGCAGCCCAGCCCAGCCTCTCCGTGGCCCAGCACTGGGTGTGGGCAACGGCACAGAGGGGCAAAGGCATCGCCACCTGCCCTGGGGGGTCTGCTCCTGAGTGGGGGGGGCTGTTGGATCTGGGCTGCATCTCAGGTCTCCCCGCAGCAAGAGGAGAGGAGAGGAGCCATCTGCTGCACAGCACTGCCCTCTCTGGGCATGGGGCAGCCCCACGGTGCCCATACCTGCCTGCAGCCTGAGAGCCACAGACACAGAAGGGAGAGGCACCTCGCCACCCTGGCTGGCAGCTGGCATGGGCTGCTCAGCAGCAGCAGGCAGAGATGTCCCGTGCTGTTGAGGCAGCAGACGCTCCTGAGAGGGCCCCCCCTGGCCACTTGGACACCTGGGGACTGCCCCTGCTGGCACGGGCGAGGGATTTTTGCTGCTCTTGCCCCTGGCTGCGGGGCTCACCTGGTCTCCGTGGGCTGCATCAGCCAGGTGTGGATGATAGGATGGCCCTCCTGCAGACCCACATAAAGCCCACCCGGGATAACAGGCCGGGGCAGGTTGTCATGTTGTCCAAAGCCAGTCCTTGCCACCCTCTTGCAACTGCTGCCAGGAGCAGCTGAAATTGCTGGCTGGATGGTGGAGAAGACGAAGGGGAGACATGACCAGGGTCTTCAAGGGTGGGGAAGGCAGGAGATGGAGCAGGCGCTTCTTTTTTGCTCCAGGAGGCATGGTTGGGACAAACCATGCTGGGAAATGGATGGGAAGCTGATTCTGGCTGACCAAGAGAAGAAAGCCCCTGCAGCAACCTGCACAGCCTTGGGAGGGGGCAGCTGCCCGGTTGGTAAGGCTGCACCCATGGGGCAGTGCCTGCGTCTCAGGAGAGCTCGGCCCGGGGGCTTGCTGAGGCCCCTTTGCACTATATGATTCCCAAGGAAGCTGCACATGGGCAATTTTGACCAAAGACAATCGGTGCCCTGCTCAGAGTGCGATGTCAAGGGACCCCCACCCCCCGGTGGGAGGCCATGGCAGGGT